TTGTACCAGTACCAGTACTAGTAGTAGTAGTCGTAGTAGTAGTAGTAGTAGTAGTAGTTGTAGTAGTAGTAGTAGTAGTAATAGTATTCGTCGTCGTCGTCGTAGTAGTAGTAGTAGTAGTACTCGTAGTAGCAGTAGTAGTCGGAGTAGCACTAGCACTAGCACTAGCACTAGCAGTAGTCGTAGCCGTAGTCGTAGTCGTACTCGTAGTTGTGGTCGTAGTAGCAATAGTAGTAGTAGTAGTAGTAGTAGTAGTAGTAGTAGTAGTAGTAGTAGTCGTGCTCGTAGTAGTCGTAGTAGTAGTTGTAGTAGTAGTCGTAGTCTGAGTAGTAGCAATAGTAGCAGTAGTAGTAGTAGTAGTAGTAGTAGCAGCAGCAGTAGTAATAGTAGTAGTAGTAGTAGTAGTAGTAGTAGTAGTAGTAGTAGTTAGTAGTAGTAGTAGTAAAGTGGCTGTAGTGATGGCAGTACTAGTACTAGTACTAGTACGAGTGTACTAGTACTAGTACTAGTACTAGTACTAGTAGTACTAGTAGTAGTAGTAGTAGTAGTAGTAGTAGTAGTAGTAGTAGTAGTAGTAGTATAAGTAGTAGTAGTAGTAGTAGTAGTAGTAGTAGTAGTAATAGTAGTAGTAGTAGTAGTAGTAGTAGTAGTAGTAGTAGTAGTAGTAGTAGACGTAGTAGACGTAGTCGCTGTCGTAGTCGTAGTAGTAGTAGTAGTTATGGTAGTAGTCGTCGTAGTCGTAGTCGTAGTCGTAGTCTCAGTCGCTGTAGGAAGGAGAGCTAGAACTAGAACTAGAACTAGAAGTATAGATAGAAGTAGACATACAAGTAGAAGTAGAAGTAGGAGTATAAGTAGAAGTAGAAGTCGAAGTAGTCGTTGTCGTCGTCGTCGGAGTCGTAGTCGTAGTCGTCGTCGTAGTCGTAGTCGTAGTCGTAGTCGTAGTCATAGTCGCAATCGTAGTCGCAGTCGTCGGAGTCGTTGTTGCCCAGCGGGTGCCGCGGGTGAGAAACTATTTTCGGGTCTTGGTGGGGCCCCAGTCCGTCAGCAAGATCGCCGAACAAATGATTAATTCCCACTACTTGGGGGGACGGGCGGTCTAAAGACTTATCGAGGTTGTCCTGGCAGCGCCCCCGCCCATGCAGAGCTGGCGAGCCAGGGCTGCAGTGGTACGCAGGTGCACGGCAGCTTGGACCTGGCCCAGCCTGCTTGGTCGCAAGCATGACCGATTCCAGTAGGCACACCAAACAATGAAGTCGGCTTGCCGGCGGGTGCCCCGGACTGCCGTGTCCTCCGATGGGCCCAGAGACCCCTGGAGCGCAGGGTCGGCGAGCGATGCGTCCCCGGACTGCGCACGGCAGGGCTCGGAGGCCCAGAGGTCGACACCAACACCAGATCGGCGGCGTGCTGCCACCGAGGGGAGATGACCCCGATCTCGGTGATGGTGGACATATTCGGGCTTCCGGGGTTGCCGACAGATGGCCACCAACACCGAAGCCTCAGATCGTCTCCCTCCCGTGGAGGCACCCCTCCTGTGCTGGTGCCAGTGCCCACTTCCAAGCTTCCACGGGGCCTCCCTCGTCGTGTGCATGCCATGTGTATCGCCAAGTTCTCTTCCCCTGAAACCGCGGGCCTCGCGCCGTGCTGTGATGTGCACGGCCATCGAGGAAGCCCGAGAACACGGAGCACGGCGGGCGGACCTGCGACGGGGGCCCCGCCGCCGTACGGCTGCGACGGGCGCCGGCGCCGAATCCGGCGGCACTGGCCTGCTGCTTCGGGTGCACCCTGCCCTGGTCCGTGGACCTGGCGCCCTCGCGCCGGATCCAGCGGTCCGTCGTCCATGCCTTGCTCAGCCCCCGAAACGGCAGGTCCGTCCTTTAATCTCGGCAACGCGCAGAGGGGGGCAGGGGGAGGGGAGAAGGCTTCTCAGAAGCACCCCTGCTTCTTAGAAGGCGCCGGCCTCGTCTGTAGATTCAAGGCCCGCGCCTTCTAAGAAGCAGCCTCCTTCCAAGAAGCCTTCCCCCCTCCCCCTACCCCCTTGTGCGCGCCGCCAATAATCGTTTCCGGAACAGTGTCGCTTGCAATTGGGAACGGCAAAAATACGGCGACCGGCAATGGCAACAGAAGCGGCTCCAGGAGCGGAGCTGGGGCGGGGGCCCGGAAGGAAAACAACGGCGACGGAAGCGGCAACAAGAACGGCGTCGGAAGCAGCAAAGCAACGGCACAACGGAACCGGTAAGAAACGGCTTTGTCGTTTCCAGGGCCCACTGAGATTTGGCGTATTCAGCGCCGATTTAGTGTCGGCCAGCGCCGATGTGGCGTCGATTTAGCGTCGATTCAGCGTCGTGTCGCAAGAGCTGACAAGAGGGTATCGGAGGCTCCCATGAGTTGCCACCGAAGGGTCCGTCATCCATGCTAGCGTACGTCCTCTGAGCAGTGCCCCGCCGCGGGGCCCCTGCGACTCCCGCGATCGCAGAGCACCCGTCAGGAAAGTACCGAAACCAGAGGGCCTTCACGTGTCGGGCCCTGGGAGGCGATACTTGCTCGACGCGATTTCAATACTCTTCTGGGTGCTCGAAATTATTTTTTGGGGTGTGGTCCTCAAGTGCGATGGGAACAACCTGACATAAGCCAAGGGCACCTTGTAATAGTTTATCATTCCTTGTTTTGCCGATCGGCGCGGGCCCTCGCACCCCCCCCCCGCCTCCCCCCCGTGGAGCAGATCTCGGCTGTTTTTGACACCCGTTTCGAGCGGGTGGGGTCTCCCCCAGAGGACGCACGGTCTCAAACAGTCGCACTGAGCAAAGGTCTGGAGCCAGACCCCTTTTCCCCCCCCTCCTTCCGCCCAGTGTCGAAACGCTGAATAAAAAAACGCTCACCTTTAGCAATGTGGAGGACCATCCATGGAGAGGAAGCGTGTTGCCAAATAATTTTCCGGTGCCTAAAACATGTGTTGTACATGCTTTAAACCTATGAAAGCATGTTTGAAACATGTCTAGGGCACGTTTCACACATTTTAAACGCATCTGCAACTCAATGGTAGGATTGCTAGGGTGGCCATGGTCATGGCATCCACGAGCCCAGTGCCGAAGCGCCGCATCAAAAAGCGCTCACCTTTGGAGCAGCTCCCGACCGCTGCCCCCCCAGGCCGGGCGGGCGCCGACGCCCCCCCGGGCCTCGGCGCGGGCGGCGCGGCGGCGGGCGGCGGCCTCTCGCCGCTGGCGCCGCCCACGCTCGCGGCGGGCACGGCCGCAAGCCCAGACCCCTTCGTGACGAACGAACAACACACACACACACACACACACACACACACACACCCATACCCACACACACACACACACACACCCATACCCATAGGGGGGTCGTTGGGAGGAGGACTGGCTATGGGTATGGGTGCGGGTTGTCGGATCCTGAGGAACGCTCCCGTTCGAGCGGGGACCCCCGTTCGACAACACGCACCCATAGCCCTCTCCGACCCCCCTATGGGTATGGGTGTTTGTTGATGTTTCGTCACTTCGGGCAGTGAAAAACTCCTGACGGCAGGTTGTTTGCTATGTTTCGCAGGCCTGGAGAGTGACACGGACACCAAAAATCGGCGGTGCGCCTCCACCGAGGGAGGACGATCCCGATCTCGGTGGTGGTGGTGAGATTCTGGCTTCCAAGGTGACCGAAATATGACCACCAACACCGACATCTAGGATCATCTCCCCATGTGGAGGCGGCCCCCTGTCTTGGTATTGGTGCCTATTTCCAGGCCTCCAGAAAAACTCCTGACGGCAGGTTGTTTGCAATGTTCGGCCTCTGGGGGCCCGTACCAGCCTTCGGGACCGTCAAAAAACGACCTTGGATGAAGAACCAGTCCAAGATACACCCTGCTTGCCTCCAGGGTGCCCCGGGTTTCTCTTGGGCTTCGATGGCTCTGCGATGGACAGCGCGGCGTTCCCACACGAAAAAGATCGGTGGACGTCCTGGGGTCTCAGGATTGGGTTTCATGTGGAAGGCTTCTTGTGGACTGGCCTCCACTGTATACACCACGTTGCTTGGTCGGCCAAGGAACCAAGGAGTCCAACGAAGGGATTCGGTGCACAGACGCTGCGGCGTCCCGCACGGTGGGAAGCTGGGGCGCTTGTACCAGAGCTGTCTGGCCGACCAGACGAGCCCCTCCCACGCAACAACCCCTTGAAAGGTTCGTTTTGTGAGCCTTGGGCCGGACTGAGGGATCTCCGTTCGACTCTAGTTCGACATTGGCTCGACTCACGCTCGAGTTAGGTCGACGGGTGTTCGACGCAGCGTCGACGCATAAAGTGGAGCGGGTGGCTCCAAGATCCCCAGAACGAGCATCCAGCAAATACAGGGGCAGTGAGATTCGCACCCCGCCTTCTGCGGATGGGGAGGAGGGGGAGGAAGAGGAACATGAGTCGAATAAGAAAAGACGGCATACATAGTACACTTTCGGAGGTCCAGCGCCGATCCAAGAAGTTTGCGCGGAGTTCCGACAATTTACGTCGGTGCGTATGTCGTTGTGTTAACATTTTCGTGCAGGCCTCCCAAGTGGGGTTCGAGCAGTTGAGGTCGGAGGATCGCGCCACATCGCCGATCCATCGGCGATGCGCCTCGATGTCGAGCCCGAGTTGTTCCACACGGACGACACCGACGTGTCGCCGACGTCGCCGATGCATCGCCGATGCACTGGCAAAGCGGCGCGATCCTCCGACCCCATCTGCTCGGTGGGAGGCCGCCGTCGAAGGAAGGGGCAGAGGGTGGGTGTCGGAGGGGGGAGGCCGAAGCGGACATCCGGACGTCCTTGTGGTTTTCAGCCGCCTCGAGGTGTCTGGGGTCGACAGAACCCCCAACAGTGACACGTCGATTAGTGAATTGTCCGTCTTCAGCTCTCGAGAGAGCGCCGTGGCCGCTATTTTCCAGGCTTGCGCCCGCCAGGTCTGGGCCTCAGGTCGTTCTCACTGAACCACGTCTTGCTAAAGGGGGGTCTGTCCATCCCCGAAGGTGGGCAGCGCCATCACGCCCACGGGGCGCCACGTCGAGGTCAGGAGCATCGCAGACAGCCCCGACCGCCGGGCGCTCTGGGCGGACGGGTGGCACGGGGCCGGCGCGCTGACGGCGGAGGGCCAGGACGCGGGCGGGCTCATGAACCCGATGATCCAGCGGCTCGCCCTGGAGAACGCGCTGCTGCGCGAGCAATTCAACGATGCGCATGCCAGGCTGCAGCGGCTCGAGGACGAGAAGAGCCGCTGGATGGACGAGGGCGTGTTCGATCTCGCCAACACGCTGTGCCACTCGTCGGTCGTGGACCTGCGGGGATCTGCTCGTCAGGCCAGCTTGTCAGATCCGTCGCCCGAGCTGCCGTCGCCTTTGCTGCTCGACCTTTCGCCCGTCTCCGCGCTGTCCACGAAGTTGCGGCGCGGGGTGGAGCAGAAGAGGTCCAGCGAATTGATGAGGGAGAACGAGGACCGGCCGTGGTGCAAGCTCCGAGCGGGGGGCATTCCAGAAAGGGCCTCGCCTTCGAGGGATGGAGAAGTTGTCTTCTCATATACGGCGGAAGCTGGTGGAAGTAAGACGATGGCGTCTCCGCCGGCAGAAGGCCAACGAACGCCAGCGGAAACAAATCGCACGCGCCCTAGAGATGTCATCGCGGGCCAGAGATACCCCCCCTAACGCTTGTGAGCACGGGCATGCAACATGCACATTCGGTGCGCGAATCGTGCTGCGTGAGCACATTTCGCGCGTTGCTTGTTGCGCACACCCTTCATGTTGCATCGCATGCGTGTGTTGGATGTTCCCGCCCAGGCACAGAGGTAGTGAAGATCATTGTTTTCTTGCGGGAAGGAAGATGCGAAAGGAGAAGGCGCGAGGATCACCCTATCACCCTGCCGATCCAGTCGTCATTCTGTCCACGGCGCTTCAGGAATGGATCATGGAGCGATCTGGGATAACCCAAAAAACGAGGCAGCGCCAGGAGGGAGCAGGAGCAGGAGCAGGGGGGAGGGATAAAGGCGGTGTCTCGTGCATCCCATGTCGTCCAAACGACCACTCAGATAACCGAGCCGCACACAATGATATTCAACAGAGATGGTGCGCAGTATAAGGTTGGTTAAAGCCCCTGCCGCGTCGCAGAAGATAAAACAACTCCCCGGATGTCTATCACGATGAGGGTAAGCAACACACAGTATACAAGCAGTGAAGGTCGAGTGCTCGCCCCCGCAAGCTTCCTGGGGCCAGCATACAGAACGCCATCTCGTTCTGTGCGTGCTTGCGTCTGCGTGCAGATTCGTGTTCGCGTGTGCTGGTCCGACGCGTTCGGTGCGAATGCGCGCGTGCGCCCGAACGTGTAGCTGTTGCGCATGCTTCAGCAGCCGACATGACACTTGGCCGAGATCGTCGTCAAGCGCAGGCGAAGGCCCCCTTGGCCAAGCGTCTCCAATGGAGTAGGGGGCGGAGGCTGAGCAGTAGGATGACGACGGAGTCCCGCCAGCAGGCGGGGACCGTGGCCTGGGCTGACAGGGAGCAACCTCGTGGTGCTTGTCGGACTCGTCTCGCCCCTCGTCGCCACATCCCCTCCTCCTCCTCCTCCTCCTCCGCCTCCTCCTCCTCCTCCTTCTCCTCCTCCTCCTCCTCCTCCTCCTTCTCCTCCTCCTCCTCCTCCTCCTCCTCCTCCTCCTCCTCCTCCTCCTCCTCCTCCTCCTCCTCCTCCTCCTCCTCCTCCTCCTCCTCCTCCCGACATCCCGACGTCGTGGAAGTCGGCGGCGAGCGAGGGGGGGAAATGAGCAGGCGAAGGCCTTTTCAGAAAGCGGCGGGCCTTCTCAGAAGCCCTCGCGTTTGCTGGGATGTTTTGGGTCTGTCTCCGGGGAAGGCTCGGGAAACTTCTCAGACGGCCGGGGGGCTCCCGCGCCTTCTGAGAAGGCCTTGTCCTTCTCACTTCCCCCCCCCCCCCCCGCGCTCGCCGCCAAAGAAAGCTCACGACGCCGTGTCCAAGACAAAAGTCACGCCCCGACCCCTCGACCGCATCGGTACGCCTGATCTCTCTCTGGCTGGCTCCGAGGGCCCCGCGGGCCCCCGCAGCGGAGCGAACACACATCTGGATACTGGTGAGGCTCCCCTCGCTCTCCGTGTTCACGCGCGTTCGTTGTCGAAGTGTCCGCTCCGTCACCGAAGAGAAGTAGATGGCAGAAGCATACCGCAGCTGTCTTCGATTACAAGCATGTTGGAAATTGTGTTGGAGCTGGATTCCCCTGCATTGCGCAATTCGTTGTTTAAATACTTGATACATGGAATGGTCTGGGCTGGAATGCACGCAGCTCGAAACTCGTAGATGACTCAACTCGTGGATGCGTGGAAGAAAAGAGAGAAGCAGAGGAGAGATGAAACAGAGAGAACGCAACACAGACAGCTGTAATATCACACGCCTCACTTTTCCGAGGTCCGTTCGGATTTCTGAGATCGGCGCTGGGCCATCCTGGCGGCGCCTCGGGCGCCGCCCCTGGCGCG